AACGGTAAAAGTGGACAACACAGGGCGCATCTATAATTCACTTACGAGCGGCTCGCGGTCGTATAGTTTGTGCGTCAACGAGTGCGAAAGGTGGGTTAGTTCGGTGGGTGTAACGGCGATTTAATGAAATAAAAAAACAAATGTATCGGGTGGTGAGGGGAGGGGAGGGGGGGGGTGAGTTTGATACGGGCATTGAGTAGTCTGAACAAAATGTGGATAGCGGTGTTGTTTCGGGAGTGACGTGTTGAGAGAGATGGAGATGTCAATCCTATGGACACTGTGGTTTCATTGTGACTCCAATAAGTTGTCAGTATCACTGAGTGATGGAGTCGATCCGTTAATTGATGTGCGGGTTTTTTTCCTCATTAACGAGAAAGTTATGTGGAATGGTTTAATCGGAGATAGTTGACAGAGGAATGTGTCTTATCGGGGGACTTCGTGACGACTGGAATTTCGAACGGCTGAAAATAAGTTGTTTTTTTATGATGTCTTTGAATACGAGTCATGAAAGTTGAGACAGTTTTTCGGCGTCACTTCAAGACAATTCAGTAGTGAAGTGTTCGATCAGGTTAAGTCGACTTAGCTTTCAGCTGAGTTTTCGTTGAATAACTCGGAATTTAAAAAAGATAGAGAAATTTTTGTAAGATTTTTTTTTATAGCCTTCACTTTTCTTTATAAAAACGATCTTTAGGAACATTTTGCTAACTCCTTCAGAATTTGAGACATTCATCCAGAACTGGCGTTAGAAAGGAATTGACGTAGACCGCTGTTGAATCAATTCACTTGTGGACAAAAAAGAAAATTTCCACCAAAACATGATAATTTTCGTAGCAGTAATTACTTTCGTGAGACATTTATATGTCTTTCGGGTAAATACATTCGTTCTGCAGAGAATTATATGAGGCTCCGGTTTTATCAAGTGAATTTTATTGAGTACTGTATATCTTTGTCCAATAAACACTTATAATTTCCATGGAACAAATGATAATTTCAAGAGGAAACTACAATTTTCTTGCCGATAACTGTGTTATTGGCAAAACTAAATAACTTCGAGTCAATGTATTCTTTCTGTGGTATAAACCTATGGAGTTCTCTGAGATCAAATGATTGTCGTACAATAGATTATATTTTTTCCTGCCAACAGTTCGAATTCTTCTAGGGATATTTCTGATGATCACGACGAAAATTTAATTTTTGTGAAAGATGTTAAATTTTCTTCTATCAAGTTGGTTAATTTCCCTCAAGTAAATCCGCTCCACTTCATCAAATATTCTCACGTGGAACATACAGTTTTTCAGCAGAGCTGTTTTTTTCTCTCAGTGCTCGTGATAATCCTCATTATGGGTAATGATTTTTCTTTTCTCAATGAATAGCGAGTACATTTGTCTCACCAACACCACCTCAATCGCTCTTCCCATCGCTCGGCTCATTAGAATTCACAGGAACTGCGTCGTTTGCTGTGTCAGAGCGGTCTATTTATGTAACACGAGTTATTATTTAACGCTGTATGACATTTTCACTCTTATCGATGCAGCTGATGCACTCAAATGTAAAACATTTACGCGATCGTGCGAGTATCATCGCTCGGGCCCTCTGTGTACTCTGATGCTTTTCATTCATATAACCAGGAAAGTTGATGGGGAGGGGGGGTTATGTATATGCATGCCTCACAGCGTCAGCCTGCAAGTGATTTTTAAACTTCACGAGTGACTAGGTCGGATTATCTACCACCAACCGAACGACAAAGAGTTATCTATCACCTCTCTGTGGTACTCCATGGCGTCAATGCTTTCAGTGTTCCTTGTTTTTTTTCTACTTTTTTTTGGGGGGAGACTGTTTGATTTTGCGCTCGAGGTTTGAATGGAAAAGTTGTTTTTTGGAGAGGACCAGAGGATTATTCAACCGATTATTAATTGATAATTCATTTCTTCATGAAGGAATTATTGCAATCATTGTTTTATAATTCGTGGAATTTTTTATCACATAGTTTCCCTGAAATCTCGAAGAATTTCATCGTTGAAAATTTGATATTTCATAGAAAAATGAATAGAAAATTTGAATTTTAGGTCAATTATTGATAGAAATCTCATAAAAATCAGTACAATTTACGTAAATATTTTCTTGAAGTTTTAATTAATTAAAATAACTGCATCATTTAATTTAGAATACAAAATCTTATTTTCCGGTTTCTAAAAAAATTGAGAATTTCTCGAAATTTTTAGTGAAATTGGGAATTATATTCCTCTCTAAATGGAATTCAATGTCTGGAATTCGACGAGAAATTATGTGGACGTACCCGAGATATGACGTCACTCAAGGCTGTTTCACAATTCTAAAATTCTTATTCTCCATCAATTTTTTTAATGACAAAAAAAAACAAGTCGCAAAGTTTCACTTTGAATTTGCTCACAATTTGTCATCAATAATCACACAAAAGGGGAAACAAAAAAAATATTCTCGAAATTTTCAACAAAAAAAAAATCCCAGAATATTTTCACTTTTTTTATTCGAAAATTGTCACGGATGCTAATGTCCGGAATTAGCGTGGAAAGTTGCAGTGTTGACTATTGCACAGCGTAACCATTAGATATGGAGAAGTGAGAGAGGTGTCACGAGGAAGGGGACATTATTACCGCCAGTATGAGAGCCACTGTTGTACGGTTGTCGCGCATATATATGCCGCAACGCTACGATTACGAGTTTTCACCGCATATCGGTACGACCTGGCGGGCATTTATGCATATGCCACCCATGTGCATATTCAATGGGCCAGTATTAATCGTCGATAACGAGGTCTCCGGCACTACGGGTATTTTGTACGTTGGGAATGTATATGTATACTATGTACCCATAACGTGCGACGACGTGAGAACGCGTCCGGTCGGGTTGGCGCGCGGGACGCGTTTGTCCGCAGGCGATATCTCGCTTACCCGAGACCGCAGAAATTCTACTCTAGTGCTGCGGTGATGCTGTCCGCTTGCGTCCTCGTCCTTTTTTGTATGCCTTGTGCATAACGAATTTTTTTTTGTTAATTTACGGGATTTTATTGCGAGGGAGAGACAAAAATGTAAAAATTAAATTTTCAGAGGCGCAGAAAAATCCAGTTTTCCCCCGTTGAAATTATTTCTTCAGTTTACTTGAACACTGAATGAATGATGAATTTTAAGAAAACTCGGGATATTTTTTATTTTGTTAACCGCCCGCTAGATACACAACAGCATCTGTATTGCCAGGGGATGCGAGACTGTGTAAACTGAAGTTTCTCTTCGCAACGAGAGCTCGTTGCATTACACGAAAAAACAGTGATATTTACCGCATAAAAATATTTGATAGAATCGAGAAAACAGAGACGAAATGGAGAATTAAATTTTTCCTCTTTTTATCAAGTAAATGTCTCGGATGGGGCGTAATCGATTCGGTCCGGTCGATTGGAAAGAGCAAACACGAGCGTCGAGGGTGCGGAGAAATATCGCAAGAGAGAGAGGGAATTTTTTCAGAAGAGAGAAATGGCGAGTGACGAAACGAGAGAGACGCATTGGACAATCGATTTTCACGTCAGTCCCTGGTCTAGTGAATCACTATCAATCCCGAGTTTGCCATCGCGTACTCAAACAGTCATCAAACGTCTGACCGTCGTTGGCAAGAGTTTAATTGCCCCTTCGAAAATATTCTGGAATGAAGCGATTCTCCCTGAACTCGACTCCGTAAATTATTTATTTATTCAATAACATTGAAATTGTATTCGGAGAAAAAAAGAAGGAAGGAATTGAGATACATAGGTTTCGAGGAGCGGACATCGCGTCGTTTGGCCTCGAGTCTATCCACTTTCCGTAAGCGGCTTACCCTCAGGCTCCCGACGTGCCCGTTGAGAAAATTGCGATACGCCTTTGCTCGTTCGTTCATGTTTTTCTCATATTTTTTTTTCATACAGCCACCCTAACTTCACATATACAATGAACGATTTGTTTCTTTTCCTCTCGGTGACTTTATCTTCAGCGATGCACTGAGTTGAAAAGAAATCAGGTATTTTTAGTTGATGTAGTTTCACGGCGACGAAAGTCAATTCCCTTTTCAATTTTTCGTCTCGTGTTTCTTTTTTCCCCGGTTTCATTGCAGTTAGCAAGCGTAATATTTATGCAGTCGGCTGGCTTCAGGGTTCAAGTGAGCTTGCACATGTGTATATTTTACTAACAATAACACCTTGGGGCGTATAAAGAACTTTTGTTAGGAACCTGTGGCAAACACCGACTAGGTGAGGATAAGTCACTTTGGAATCATTTCCCCCGGACGGGAATTGTTAAATCCTCGTGGCTGTGCACCTTGATACTTGCCGCAAACTACCGAACCAAATGGGGCCAAATGGACTTGTCATTATGCAAATCCCCGACAATGTCCATTTTTCTCATTTTCCCGGCGTATTTAATCTCATCAAATATCATTATTCCCCGACGTAACAAGTGCCGGGGGCTCATGCCAGACGGAAACGAATAATGGCACCTAAGCTCACCCATGTCTGTAATAATCGTAAATTGGAAAGAAATTTTCATGTGTAGAAACCTGGAAAATTGTTATAGCGTAACGCACGCAATATGGTGTTTGACTTGGTGAATTATCGATTGTTGTACGTCCAGGCTTGAATAAGGCGTGCTTGGCCTCGATATAAACTTCTTATGCCCCACCTTTATGGTGCTTATCTAGTTCATCGTCTTTATCTGTAATTATACTTTTCGATGCACATTTAGATATCAGCGCTATCGGAATAAAGCCAATTTAGATAATTAAACATCAGGTTCAGCTATTACTACCTAATCAAGAATATTATCGTTTGGTTTCGCTGTTTTGAAAGCACTAACGCCCGAATCACGCCGATTCACTCCCGACGCCTCTGCGCATCGCGCCGCGCAGCTTGGGCACGTGTTTAGGCGGGGAATCCCCGGACCGAACTACGCTCTCAATTCCAATATCTAGTCACTAATGAATTTGTTACCTATCTGTTTCAGATAAGATACACCGGAGTAAGCCACACGGGGCACGTGCCAGGAGTGGAACCGAATAAATGACGTAAATCCGAGGAACTAAAAGGGACGTAACGCTACCTTGCTGGTCCCCCCAACCCTTTCCCCTCTCCCCCCGTCTTTATCTTTTTTCTTACATCCTTCACCCCTCAACCATTTTTCGTCCTCATCCTCATCACCGTCAGCCTTTAAATCCCAACCCCCGTGATCTCCGGAGACCCGTCAACACAGCCGACGTGTCCTCACTGTCACCTTTTTTTTTCCACTCGCCCCCTTTTACGATTCGATTGCCTGTCGCCATCTCCATGGTAAAAAAACATTGACTAGCCTGCACGCCCTTTTCTCGTCACGACTCATCAGCGGGACATAAAAGCAATCAAGAGGGAGAGACGCAAAGGGAACGCATCCTGTGACAATTTTAAAAGTTTGAGGGATCATCAGCTGATAGTTAATTCAACTTGCAGCACCGGAAGATTCTCTTGGGCCTTTATTAAAACTAGCAGCGAGCTTCCGTAGATGAAGCACTTGAGCATCGTTATAATCACAAAGATTAATTAATAATAGAATACATGTGGTTATTGTGAACTACTTGTATGAGAATTGAACATTGGAATCGAAAAAAACGAAATCTAAGTTGAATAATCATCGAGTTGAGGTACACATTAGCATTGGCTTTGAGATTGTTTGAGTGATTAAATGAGTGATTGACAAAGTTCGAAAGGTTGCAGCGAATGGAAATATTTAATGAAAGATAGGTCTGAATGTTTCAGTTGTGGATGAGTGTGTGAATGTCATCAAAATTCAGTCGTTTAATCAAGTCTAAATCATAAATACGTATCGTTCAAACGTATCATCCAGTCGGTGCGTGTGAAAGAGGAAAAAACGTCGAAGAGTGTGATCAGCTGAACACGAAGATGGCTATGGTCAACATGAACAACCTACTCAATGGAAAGGACTCGCGCTGGCTACAGTTGGAGGTATGCAGAGAGTTTCAACGCAACAAGTGCACCAGACCCGACACGGAGTGTAAATTCGCTCATCCACCTGCCAATGTTGAAGTGCAGAATGGACGGGTTACTGCGTGTTACGACAGTATCAAGGTGAGTGATTATTTTAACGAATTCATTACAAAAGTTTGTGGCCAAATTCGGGAGACAGGTTCGTTAACTTGGTTTTAGCGTCAGTTTTTTGTGAATATCTCGGATTCTATGGGAGGTAGCAAAATTTTTTTAATAATAGTTTTTGTAGAGCGGGAAGAAAGTCATAAAAAAGGTTTGGACCAAATTTTTCATAGCTCGCTTCAATTTCGAGATGTTTAAGAAAACAGGAAACTCGGAATATCAACTCATCCTGTTTAGCCAATTTTACTTCTTTATTAGTTTTCATTGTTATTCTAACGAATTCATAAGAAATGAATTTTCGATATTGTTATTCTCAAGTTCCGAGATATATTCGAAATATTGGTAATTCATTACGAAATTTTGTAGCCAAATTCGGGAGAAAGGTTCGTCAACTTGATTTTAGCGTCAGTTTTTGGTGAATATCTCTGAATCCATGGGAGATGGCAAAATTTTCGTACCAACATTTTTCGTAGAGCGGGAAGAAAGCCGCAAAAAAGGTTTAAACCAAATTTTTGATATCTCGCTTAAATCTCGAGATATTTCTAATAAAAGTCATCTTGGAATATCGACTGATCTATTTTTCGCAATTCTACTTCTCCATCCACTGTTTCTTTGTCTGAAATTATTCCAAATGCTTCACGCTTTTGAGGCTTGGCCGACGCAGATAAACGATGATAACTTTTATCGATTCTTTCCTGTGTATATATGTGTACACAAGCTTGCTGTTATCACGACAGATGCTTTTTATCGTCCGGAATGATTACGATGACGAGTGCCGGCACGAGGAGCCATTAAATTATCAACTGACGAATATAAGCAGGAATTTAATGTGAATGTAACTCAATACCTTGAATCAACTTTCGGGAATGCTATCTAAATATACGATTCCAATGATTTCAACTCATCATTGCTCTTTATGTAAACCGCACTCGACAGAACAGTCAGAATATATGCATTATGGTAAATTGGTTGCGTAACGCGATGGTAGTAAATGAGAGACAGGCGTGGGCGAGTCGAACGATTGACGTAACATGCCGGGGCTTTGGTGCCATTTTTTCATCTCACAATTTTTATTGTTTCAGAAATTAAAAATTCCCATGAAAAGTGATCAAACACTGATGATAAATTTCTAAAAATATCCCATTACTCATCGAATTCCCCACTTTTTCAACATCCTCTGCAGCCAGAAATTCTCGAATACTTAATATCCCCATAAAATTCTCCCATATATTGTCTTAACGTGAATATTAACGTTCTTGAGACACTCAAACTGAAAGACGACATTGTCCAACGTTACTTCGGCCACGACCTCGTTCCACGAACGCTGCTCAGCAATCCGCAACGTCGTCTCTCAGCTTCAACCCGTAATATATAAGTTCCCTCGTCTCCGTCGTTTGCCTCTTCATCCTGTCTCCCTCCCTCCACCCCCTGACCCTCCAGTCTCACTCTACCACTTCATGTGAATTCGTCATTCCGACGGGCGAGAAATAATGACGAGAGTCTTGCACGCGCGCCCAGCGCCAGGTTCAATTAATTACAATGATGACAATTAGAGTAGATGGGATACTTTGACCCTCGTACATAAATTCAGAGATGAATAACTGCCGGTTAACATTTTCCCCCCCCCTACATTTTCCCTTTTTTTCTCGCTCCACCCCATGACCCGTGTCACTTACCCCTAATCAAATGGAACTTTATCAATTTCCAAATAGTCTATTAATAATGATGTTTCTCCATGACTCGCGCAGTTACTGCGTTTGTTCAGTCGTGTTATCGATTCCAATTACCTTAAAACTTTCAATTAATTCAGCTGTCAAGCGTCAACGCGTGTGTGGGGGCGGCAGGGGGGGAGAGGGGAAACCGATTTCGTGATGGGTGGGGGAGGGAGAGCAGGAGGAAAAAAAGAATAAAGTATACAGCTCTCTGGGCCAGATGTCACGGCAACAGCCAAAAGCCCCCGTCGGTTTGTTTTATCGGCTCGTTACGGCTCGCTCACCGATGGGCATTTCTTTTAACCTGTCTACCCGTCCGGCGATGTCCCCTCGATATTTTTTTTCCCATTCGATACTTCCATTCTGGTTTATCTTTGGAACTAGTGACCCTAAATAGTCGGTACAATCTTCAGTATTTGATTTTTTGTCGCGCTATCGGGCAACTTTTAGTCGGCCATTCATAAATCATTTGTTTGAAAAGTTGGGGAATTTTTTGGCAATTTTTTTTTTTTTTTTCATCGTATACCTGCTACAGTGAAATTCACTCTGAAAATCACTAAACGTTGGCACGGACATGACGAAAAACACGGGCAGCAGCTGCTGTAAGGGGGCCTCTGCACCTGTCGCGTCTGTTAGTATCGCGCGAGACCGAAATACAGGAACCCAACGTCGCTCGATTCGTTTTCCTCTCTAATGCTAAAACAGCTCTCGGGATATACCGGGATTTTGGTAGTTGTATTACGGATAGTAATGGCTGTGCGCAATTCTCATTCGACCTCCTTTGTTGTAAAAGCACCCTCACTGATGTTAGAGTATCTTGAGGACGCACCCGAAGACGTTATGCTCCTTCGTTATACATGTATTCTTCCACGCTCATCGACCCACATCTGCACGCCCGTCACGAGAGGGTGAAATTACTTCCCTCTTACGTGATTGTGTTAGCTCACGAGCCACACAGGGACCTTCAGCGCAGAGTGAACTGATTTTTATTTATTATTATCATCGATAGGGTTGGGTCGCCTAAACTTCATGATTTTGAGGTGTTTATAGTGTAAATGGAGTTGAGGAGAAGAGGAAAATGTAAAAACAATATGCTACAATGAAATTATTACGACCGGTAGATTCATATTCTGTTATCGCCTTTAACCCTTGGGTTTTTTTTATCTTAAAAAAAAAACATCTAAGATTTGACAGAGCAAATAGCCCAGGGGATAATATATAGTAAAAAAAAAATGATAAAGTTCCTGATGGGATTCGAACCCCAGTCGTCTACGTGCCAAGCATTCGCCATTCACTTACATCAAACGCCATCGCGACAGAAGAAATTTCCCAATTTTCCCAATCATCCTTTTAAATTGTTCCGAGATTTAAAATCAAAGTTTTTCCTTCACATAGTCCAAAGATTGCAGTAGCTCAGTTGTTCAACTATTGTTTATTATGCTTTCCCAGTGGTCCTTAGTCGTCCAAACTATGATTTTGGTGTTTTCATATTGCAATTGATGTCGAGAAGAAGAGCAAAACGTAAAAAAGAACAAAAAAAAAATTCCGTACGGGATTTGAACCCCAGCCGTCATCATGACAAAGGAAGTTTCACAATTTTCTCAATTACCCTCACATATTATTCCGACATTCAAGCCAAGTTTTTCTTCCAAGTACATCAAGTATTCCAGTAGTTCACTAGCTAAACTGTTGTTCATTATGCTCTCTCGACTTCAAGATCAATTCAAAGTCACTGACATTTAGGCCGAGGGCGAGTGAAGCCGCAAGCTTGTCAAATAGATAAACAGACAGGTATGTGAGACGTTGAGAGGAATGGTGCAGGCATTATCTGAGGGAAACTGAGACGAGGCGGAACTGTCAGAGGAACTGGCAATGTTGGTATTATGCGATTAGGCTTCTTGTATCCTACCTATCATCCAGCTTACTCCATCGCACTCATACACCGAGATATTCCCCCAAAGAAGACGCAATATTTTTGCAACACTGTTCTTGCAAACCCGAATTCATCTCCAACGCAAAGAGATTCTTATCCACAAGTGACTCTTCACACGTTTCATTACAGCCTTCCAATGATAAATCGGCAGTTTAACGACGAGAAGAATGACTGTATTTACTGCAATGTGAAACGGGTTTGAGATTCACGGGGTAAATCAACGAATGGAGAGTACAATCTATCGGCGTCTAGTGTAATTTACAACCGGACGGCATTAGCCACCAGCTCCCTCATGTAATACATAGAGAAGCCAATGGATCGAGGGCGCGGGGGGGGGG